CTTATCCCCACCATCTCTGGGCCTGGGACAGCTCCTCAGGAGCATCAGCAAGTCTGAATCTTGTGCTGCCAGGGCAGGGGGAGCAGGGAGAAATTATCTGCCATGTCAGACCCTTCAAACATGCAGTAATTCCATAAGCACTGGGCTCCTCCAGGCATTAATCATCCCAGATAGTGCAGCAGCTCCTGTCTCCCTTTGCCACAAACCCAGAGGAGAGCAGAGCAGGCTGCCCCGAGCCCAAGGAATAGCAAATTCAAAATTAAATATATTCTTCTTCTCCCATAAAAGTTATTCATCCATTCTCAATCCCAAACTGCTTGAACAATAATATTTCCCCAACCTCCTTCCCCAAGTGGGAGCTACTAGAGACACAAACACAGCAGGATTTGATCCAGAGTTCATTGCAGTGCTAGGAAAGGGTAAAGTGACCCAATCACTGCACCTCCTGACAGCCCAGAGAAGCCAGAATCTCCATTAGCATCAAACTAAAGAATGATCCATTTATTGCTCTAATTCTCCATTTAGGACTCACTTCAGAAACCCCCAGCCCTCAAACCTGAGCCCTGTGTCTGCACTGAGGGAATGCTTCATGTGATAATGACCTTAAAACTTATCCCTTTCTTATGAACAATGAAAATGAGCTCCTAAATGAGGAATGTTTCTCATTCCTGGTGGGGAAACTGAGGCACAAAGCATTTCTGCTGTTCCCTGCAGGCAGAGGGGGGTGCTGGCACTGCCATGGGAGCTCAGGGGCTTCACATTCATCCCGTGTCCCACAGGCTGTCAGTCTGTTGGGTTTGGGTCTCAGAGCCCAAACAGTTCCCAGAATAATTCCAAAGCTGTGCAGCTGCCTGTGAGTGACACCCTCACTCCAAACCTCAGCCCCTCCTTTCCTCCCTACCCTGCTGCAAACCCTCCATCCCCTGCAGAAAACGGGAGGGGACACAAAGGGGGTGCCCAACAGCTCAACAACCTGCAAGGTGGGATTTTATAGACTCACAGAATGACAGTTTGGGTTGGAAGGAGCCCAAAGGCCACCCCGTGCCACCCCCATGGCAGGGACACCTTCACTGTCCCAGGTGGCTCCAAACCCCAACCTGGCCTTGGGCACTGCCAGGGATGGAGGAGCTGCAAACTTCCATCATTTCCTTTCTGCTGCAGCAATCCAGTTCTGCTCCTACAAGCTCTCATTCTGCGCTTTCCTGCCCAAACCCAGAACGAGCAGTGCCAGCCCGGGGTGGCAGTGCCAGCAGTGCCCTGCAGCAGCTCAGCACAGGGCTGGGGAGCTGGCAGGAGGCACAGGACACCTGGAACACCTCTGGCAGCAGCCAGGGCAGCAGCAAACAGCAGCTGAGTGGCAGGGAGGGTTTCACCAGGGAAACCCCAGGAGCTGGGCTGGATGTGCTCAGAGCAGCCCCAACCCATCCCTGCCCAGTGCAGAACCAGCCTGGGGGCTCACACAGCCTGGAGAAGAGCAGAGCAATTCCAGAAACTCCATTTAAACAGGCTCAGATCTGCCTGGGTGCGCTGCCAATTTCTCCTTGCACATTCCTGCCTTGTACAAAGGGAAATAAGAGCAAAATCTGGCCCCCAAATTGCCAACAGCTCTCTGAATGCTAATTTGGGCTTTTCAGATATCCAAGTACATACAAAAGCACAGCTCAGGTTTGAAAAACAACCAGAATTGGCTTTAAAATATCTGCAGCCTCTTTTCTGGATGTTCCCCAGGCAGAGCACAGCTCCTCCCTATGGCCAAGGCTGCATCCCAGAGGGAAACCTGAATTTTACCT